TTGTTGTTATTATTACTAGTATTGTGATTGATATTATAATTATTTAATATCTTCATTGTAATTATCATTACTATCATTCATATGACTTATGCAGGAACTTCATTACTTAATCAATTTGCTCGCTCGCTTGGTTTCTCTTCAAAATTTGGTGCTTTTCTATTGTTGGTGTTCAATTTTCGTCTGATGATATTCATTTGAAAGGGTTTTCGTTCGAGAATTATCTGTTATCATTGGTAGTGCTGTCGATTTTGTGCTTGTCGATTGTTTGTACTGTTTTGATGGTACTATTATCACTAGTATCGTTTTTATTATTGTTACTGGTATGAGTATTGTTTATGGTATTGTGTTATTATTATTATTATTATTATTATTATTGTTATGATTGTTATTATTGTTATTTCCAAAATTAATCTTAATTTACGTGATATATTATTATTATAATTTCGAAACTTAATCTTAATTTGCACAATGTAATACTTCATTTGATACGGAGGGTCATCGAGCAATCTTGTGTGCTTCCACTGATTTGATTACATATGTAAATGTACATAACTTATTTATTTTCTGATCAGTTATTGTCATTATCGTATCGTTTATTGATGATTTGCAATTTGTTTTTGTATTTGTTCATCGAATATATCAGTGAGTTTGCGTTCTTTCTTTTTGAGTTAACGTTTGTATTGTATTGTTATATATTTGTATTAAATAACTATCGACTGAAATCGTATGNTATTCGTTCTGAGGAGTGATCACTTGAATTATGTGTGATTAGCTGATTATGTGACGGATTAATTTCTTTGTTTGTATGCTAATTTAATTAATGTATTATTTCCATATTACGTATAATATTTCAGTGTCATGAAGTGTTGTAGCATAGGAAGGCGATAGATTTGTCATATGAAGCAAAATTATTCGTAGGAGATGAGTTAAGATGTTGTAGTTGATATTTTTTAAGTTGTAGAATCATTTATTGGAAACCTTTGAAGAAATCCATCTCTTTAAATCAGATAATAATAATAATAATACTGATGACGATGAGCATGTTGAAACGTTGAGACACTCCAAATAGATATTACACGTGAGTGAATATGTATTCGCTAAAGGTTATCGGTTCATGCTGTTTCGTTGAAAGGTAAGACATTCTTAAGATGGATACAAGGAAACTGATAGAATTTCAAAGATATTTTTAGGAAAACGAAGAAATCAGTTGAGAATCAATAATAAAGAGCAATTGAAATTGGCTCGACGACTAGACTTCAGTGTAACAATCGAATCAAACGATATGATCGAATCGCCTGTTGTATGTTGTTTTTTCGTTTTTTTTTTGTTTTTTGTGAGAATTTGGTCATTCAGTTAAACTAACTTAAGTTGTTTTCAGAACTTTTTATTCTTTCATCTGTAACGAGTGAAAACGTTGGCGTAGCAACAACACAAGAAAAATATTGTATTATAGGAAAGCGATAGAGTGAAAAGATATAAATGGTCACTGATAATCCAAGATGAAAGGTGTGTGAATTTTTGAAATGATTGCAGCATTGAAATGAAAAATTTGAAATGTTTGAAAAATATTTGAGAAATGTGGTGAAAAGTTCCAAAAATTTTTTGTTAAATTTCACGTTCAAATCAGATAAAGAATGAGGAAGATCACGAGGAAAATAAAGAAGACAACGGGGAAGAGAACGCGAGCGATTATGTCCAGTCCGTTGATTTGCTTGAAATTTGCACATTTCGAATCGTACGCCACCTCGACGGCTGTCTGAAATTAACCGAGCAAACAATATTTCGACATATCATCAAATTCAGTCGGGAAAATTTTGGAGAAAAGGTTGCGAAAATTCTCTCATGAAATTGAAAGAGATAGAAATCGTTCATAATTTGGAATGTGCTGCAATTTCCAGCTGAGATTCGAATCCCTTCAACTAGTCGTTTATAGACTCTAGTTGTTGTTTGATTAGAATCTAGAGAAATGATAATACCGATAATCTAATCATTAGATTATCGGTATTATCATTTCTCTCTGATAGCAAAACGCATTTCTGAGTTGTCGAGTTTCTTCTATTGAATATATTCTAAACGTTATTCGTTGATTTCAATT